AGGGAAAGAAGCATACAATGTGTATGTAGTCATTTGTGCATTCAAATTGAGTTTTGCATGCACATACAAAATTTTGCTCATGCAAGAATGCTTATTGTTTACACAGATATTCATCTATTTTCTGACCAACCTTTAAGATGACAAAGGGGGGAAACTTTATAATTATTTTAGAATTATAAATACAAAATCATACACACTTTAAAAAAAAAAATCTATTCAGATGAGCTCTGAGCAGTATAAAATGCTGACACTAAACAGGTGAAGTCGTTGGGTAAAATGGTCGAACACTGAGGTCCCATCAGACAGTGGAATAGTCTGCCAAGGGAGGTCATGGAGGTGCTAGCACAGAAGCAAACCTTGCTTTAGTTCTGCCTGACTGCTCTGCTGATGCCAAACCACACAGGTTCCTTGGTTAGCACAACTGTCTTCCTTTTCTGTTACCTTTTATCCTTTCTCTGCCACAGTGCATTTTCTGAGGAGCTATATTACATGGTACTGAAGTCCTGTGCTTCTCCATAGCTCTGGTATGTCTCTTCAGTTCTGCCAGTCTTAAATTGGAATTTTTCAGCTGAACTTGGAAGAAACACTGCATGGCTATTTATTAGCCACACTTTTGAGGCTGGGTTTTGAGGGTTTTTTAAAATCTTATTCACGCTGTGGATGGATGCAAATATGTTCCCTGTTATACCAGAAATATATCATCAATACTCTTCTAGTTTGTATATGGTTTGATTATTCTAATGGTGTTTTGGAATCTGTAATTTCTTCCTAGCTGTTTTCAGTCTTGGAATAAAAATTACTGAAGTCCAAAAGGTCCTTGAAAAACTGCCTATGTTTTCTGAAGGCTTGTGAGAATCCTCTTGGCAAAGCAGTCATACAAATGGCTGAGGTTTAGATTGCTAAGCAGTGACAGGAGTGCCACACCAGGTTGTGCCAGGTGGAGTCAATGGAAGCAGATTTGGTGACCTGACACATGCTATGAAGGATCTTTGGCTGTTTCTTCAGCTTAATGACTTTGAATAGAGAATATGAAGGGGTGAAAATGCACTGGGGCCCAGTCCTATGCGTATTAGCTACCAGCCCTTCCTTTCACAAATCCAGAATTATGAGGCTTTTCAGTTGCAAGATTAATTTTTGCATATATACACTATGGTTTACTATACTGAGGGTTTTTCCCATATGGAGCTATTATAAATGTTAAGGTACTATAGAAACAGTAGTAGCTCTGGGGTATGTACATTAGAAATCAAGCAAACATTTAAACAGCTACAGAGAGGATGTTTGTTACATCTAAGCTCCAGTGACCTTGACAGTGTCTCTTAAAGATCATTTCTGCTGTTCTTGGAACCTGCTTCTTAGAGTTTCACAGTCTGTCTTGAAATTTTCTGAATAATATTATTATTTCCTGGTGCTTTTAATGCACACATGAATATGTAATTGTATATGCAAGAAAAAAATTGCAGTTTTAGTGCAGAGATATATTTTTTCTCCAGAGCAACTGTTGTGAGACAGAAATCCCATTGAGGCATTTTATTCCTATGTTGAAATATTTTGTCTCATATGCTTCCTGGAATTTTATTCCATTTGGAGAATGAAATTGCAGTAGCCATAAGACCAGGCTGTGCTTTGCAATATAATTTATTGCCCAAGAACCTTAAAGGCCTTGGTAGCATTCAATGATTCTTTTCTCTCCATCTTTCTTTGTTTCCATGGTTATGCTCCTGACTTAGTTGAATTGGTTATTTCCGTTTTCAAAGTCTGTTTGCCATATTAGAAATGAAAACAAGGGTGCAGCAGATTAACTTCTTATCAAAGTCATTGATATGGTGGTGTGGTAGATCTTACTTAGAGATGGGGTGATTCTGTCTAT